CGATTTTCACCTGTCTTTGCGTGTTGCTGGGTTGAAGGGTGGATATTACGACTATGTCAGGATAGTGCAACATTAAACGGCTGGTGGATCATGATTTTATGTAGTTCATAATTTATAAGGTCTCCTCTTTTTTTAGTGGTATATACGATGAGGATAGAATAAAAAGAAAAGGATAAATATTAATTATAAAATAAATCCTTTGATGAATATGATATTTTGTTGTATACGTCAATCTCTTCTTCTTTTTTGTTGTTTCCATTGCTATCCTTTTTTTCTATTTCCTAATTCAATCATTTCATATGAAAACATAATTTGTTACTTAAAACACTGAAAGCGATATTGGTATAAACACACATAGATAATAGGCACTGAATACCTTATAACTCTATTGCAGCAAAATTTTAAATGGGAAAAAATAAGTGTTTAAAAGTGATACAGATTTAGTTAATGCATATAGTTTTTACTACATAGTACGATTCGTATCTATTTATCCAATAGAAATATATATATGCTTTCTAATCTCGGTTTGCATATAAGGCTTCGAGAATGGCAAGATTTAGACAGATGGAGGTACGAGGTTTTCAATGCCTACCGTCGATATGTAAGGTATAACGAGATGGTGTTTGCTGAGGAAGAAACAATATCTGTTCATATCGCAGAAGTATATCTTTTTCTTGGGCTTGTCATGAATTTTTCTTTAAGTCGATTAATGTAAATACATGTATGCATTAGTTCGATTTTTCACCGAACATAAAGCTATAACTTCTTCACTAACGAAGGTAAGGAAGCTTTGCAATCGTGTGGGAGGTTAAAACAAATTTTGAGCACAGAATCGAAAATTTCTACTCGCGTTTTACGTGTTTAAGTAGTTTCAGATAACAAAGTTGGTTCCATGTGACGGGCATTTCATAAAATACCGTTAATACGATTTTCATGAAATTTTCAGAGATTATGCAGGTCGGTGTCTAAATAGTCCCATCTAAATTTTATTCCATACTTTACCTTACTCAAGTGTAAAAGTTTCATTATATGTGTCTAAATTTCAGAAACGGCTTGTTCAATTTGGTTCGAAGCTAGAAGAACGTTAAATAGCGGTAAATAAATGACGCTGTATAGATTTTGTTGAATTCCCTCAACTACTTTCTCTTATATATTCGCAAAAAAAAAAAAAAATTCTTGAAACGCCTATATTTCAAAAACCGCATGTTAGATTTAGCTCAAATTCGAAGGGAAGTTAGGGATCGATAAACATGTGATCAAATAGGTATCAATTTAATCAAATTCTATCCATTGCTGTAAAAAAATACTTCCGCTTTCGGATCTGCAAACGTACCGTTTGACATGTCAATCTATGGTTTAAAAACAACTCCAACTCAAAGTTGGAGGTAATGAGAGAATAGTGTACAGTATACCTAGTATCAATTTCATTAGATTCCATTAAACAATTAAAATTAATATAAATAAGTGTTAAGAATATAATGACTGAATGTGGCAGGCAATGAAAGGTAAAATTTATGTTATAATTTTATGAGATTAGTTTTATACGATTTTAAACTGTTTTCAAAAATCCTTACTATGATTTTATGTAATTTCCGGGAGGGTTTAAACTTAAAAGGTCCAGTATAGATTTTACCGATTACCATCTACTTCTTTTGCATAGGTGTTTACTTTTTCTTAACTAAACTAGATACACTACATATCATTCACCTAGATTATTTTACAGAAAAATTACGCACACTTCGGATTTATGAATTCCGTATATGCATTCTTTTAATATAAACTTCACTCATATTCATGTATTCCTCCTAAAATTATTATTTTTTTTCCTGATGGAAAATGTCGATTTCGTTAACACAAAACAAACATAACATTGATTTTTTTCAATGGACTTTTGTAACACACATTCAAATAGTGATAAAAATACCAATATAAATAATTGTGTAACCAATGAAAATGGCGAGGAATCTATATTGATCATAATTCATAAACTTTTTTTAATCAATGGAACATCTTTATTAGTGAAATATATAAAATCGGGACCCTGGAAAATGTTCTAATTTGGTAACCCATAAAAAAAGTTTTAACTTCGAGGCCATAAATTTAACACTTTATTTTTGAAGTGAAAACTTCCTTAGGCGTACTTGACACTTTGGTATGTAACGCTACCAGTGTTTTGCATTTGGATTAAAATGTCTCAGAAACTAAAAATCGGCCCTGAATACTTTAAGCGAGGGAAAAGTTGATCATTTCATCCTCTTTGTAATGAGCTATTATTTAAAATTATACCTTAAGGCGACCCCGTGTTAGCGAGGCGAAAAGGAAAAAAATAGTACCAAAAATTAAATTAAAACGATTTTCATTGATTACGAATCTCAGAAACTAAAAATCGGCCCTGCATACTATAATCAATGGAAATGTTCTACATTTAGTACTCTTTGTAATGAGCTGCTATTCACAATTGTGTTTTGACGTGTGGCTGAGTGAGCGAGACGCAAAAGGAAAAATATAGCTTCGAAAACCAAATGATATCGAGTTTTGTTGAACATATGGAATAAAATACCTCGGGTACTAAAACTCGGACTGTTAGCAAGGGCATTTTTCAGCATTTCATCTTCTTTGTAATGAGCTATTATTCAGAACTGTACCTTAACGCGATACCGAGTTAGAGAGTCGGAAATGGAAAAAGATAGCGCCAAAAACCAAATAATATCGACTGTTGAACATTTGGACTGAAATAACTCAAAATTTAAGTAAAATGGATAATTCCGAAATCAATTTGATGAAGTCAATAAAGATTTTTTTTTTAATTAGCCTTATAAATAAGAAATTACGTGTTTCTATTCAATTTTCTGTTGCACTCGATAGAGTTCTGACAAGTAACTGACCCCTGTTACAGAAGTTCTATTAAAATAATGACGAAGTTTTGGTTAGAGCAAATATATTTCAATCAGAAGTATTCATCGCATATTGTCATAAACCTATTTAGAGTATAATACAAGTGACGATCAGTCAGAGCAAAGTTTACTAGAGTAATTTATACACAATTATAACTGTATATATTGTAAATGTTATTACTTTGTGAATATAAAATTTAAAATAATGTATATTTCATATTATTAATCTTGCCTTGTTGATGTTTTCACTTCTATGGTGTGGTACTAAGCACACACCGTAGTATTTTTTAATATTTGTCCGAATATTTCCAGAAAGCTCCTCTGATCGCTTATCTCTCCAAATTCATAATATTTCTTTATTCTTATTTAGTTAATTTCTGCGATAATTTTTAAAACTCCTCAAATCTCCTCAAATGGTACTCAATGTTACAATAGAATAACAACCCGTAAGTCTTGGCCTCCTTCGATACCAATTGCCAAGGGTTTCCATCGTTAGCCGTCCCCATCCAATTGCTTTCCGCTTGTGTCATTTGCATCGCAATCAGACCATCTTGATGTTGGTCAGACCCATGATTGACGTTCGTGCTTGGTTTCTGTCATCAGCACAATATACGTGTATAATGGTAACATGATATACCCGTCGATATCGACTTAATTTTATGAATGATGTGATTAATAGTCCGTGGTACCCTTTTTCATCAAATTATTAAGATCCGCCAAATACTTCATGAATTGCTTCATCTCATCGCAATCTACAAATATTTTACCTACGAACATTATAGGAATTGGGGCGTTTTCAATCTGCATTTCGGTAAACATTGTCTATTTAATTGGGTACTAAAATCTCATTTGCTTTCCACTTTAATCATAAGATAATATGAGCACAAAGTAAAAAAAAAAAAAAAAACGATCTACAAAGAAGATTTGTAACATATATACTGATATTATCCCCCAAAAAAGGGATGACATTAAAGTTGCTACGTTTTGGGGTGTTGCAATTTATTCGGGATGCCACTCGATAATTATTGATGATAATTACCCGGAAATGTTTGATAAAAATTAATGAAATAAATTTGGATTTATAATATATTGATCGGTCCAGAATTAATGAATTGGATTTCTTTTCTCAAAGGCTGGTTTGTGTTTATCATGCTTTCTAATTACCAAACATTACCTGTGATTATAATAATATAAATAGGCAGCATGATTAAAATAACTTTTACTAACAAACTTGATTTATTTCAATTTTTAATAAAGAATATATACAAATTATATTTACAAAAATTGCAAATTATAGTTACAAGAATCAATGAATTCAATAATTAACTGTGAAGGCATGATTTCAGATGGACTGTTTTGAGAATTATGTTGCCATGAAATATTCTAACATTGGTAAATTTATTGTTGGCACTAACACTTATCTATTGTATATGAATAGGTGTGGTTGATAGATTCCATCTGTGCATCTGCTGATCCCCAAGCCAGAAGAAAACGTAAGGCCCATTCTGAAGGCCGGAACTCAACATAAGACCTCTCCTCTAGGCCGGATCTTCACATTAGACCTATTTTATTCCTTCTCAGTAGATTTTGTAGAAATATTCAGGTTAGGGCAAGAATGGTTCTCATGGGTTGAATTTTCTTAGCATAAGGAATGACAACGCCTCCAGACCGTACGGCTGTTTCCTCTTTCTCAAAGGTGTTTCTGTTCCCTTCCTTACTTAGACAAGCCTTCCGATCCTCTCCAAACATGCCCACGTAAGACCGGTGTCGGTCCTTTGGTGTTTTATTGCAACTCAGAAAAGGTTGCATACCCTAATGGGTCGCTACTCTCCCTCATGTAACCGGAAATGTGTTAGCTATCATTATTTAGAATGTATTTATACATTGGCAATAATTAAATATATTCCAAGTGTGGTACTTACAATACATACTTTTTATTTTAAGCCCATCGATAACCTACAGCTCATTTTAAATAGGTACTACATGTGAGTAATAAGGTTACATAAGTGCTAAGCCGTCTGTGGAGAGGTTAGAATTCCAAATTCCATGGGTTATAATTAAAGTAACAATTGCTCAGCTTGGAACCTTCCATTGACGGTGTCAATTATGGACTTTAAGACACTACCTAAACCGCTCCTACCTCAAAGATCTCTTCCATCTAGAAGTGGACACTCCTCAGAAGAGATGCGTATCCAAAACACGAGCTCTGTTCGAGGAAGGCAGGTGTCCCCTATCGATTGGGCGGGAGTTGGTGGGGGCTGGCACAGCTATATAAGCCACCTCCGACGAGCCGCCCCCAGTCACATGTCAGACAGCGACTGGCAGAGAGTGGAAGCTAGCTACGCCGAGGAGGAGCTAAGGATTCAGACTCGTCTCAGGCAGCTGTGAGTGTCTTTTCATTATCATTTTAATGTAAAATAAAATTTCTATAGATAATACGAAAAGTATAGTAAATATAAATCGTTTACATTCCTAAATATAAAAGAAATAAATTTTGATTAAAATAAGAGTTTTAAAAAAAGTATAGGTTAAAAAAATAAACAAGTCAAAACTGCTTCTAAAAGTAATTCAAAGACAACAAATTAACCATTGAAACGAAAATAATCAATAAAAAATGATCGTTCCTACAAACTATTTTATTTATGTTTACTCATTCATCTTATAACGATATCTGTTTATTTAAGGATTTAACCTGTGCTCAGGTTTGTCAAGAAATGTTAGAAAACATAATATAATTCTTATTTTACTAACTTTGAAATTAGTTTACACACATAAACAGAATATCTATCAATTTACATCATCAAATCATATTGCTTAATATAAAAGTAGCAGTTTGTTTTTAGGTTCTAAAAGAACTAACTGATATGTAACAACTAATTTTGACATTAAACAGTAATATTATATCCTAAACTTTTCCTAACCCTGTGTATTCACAAAGGAATCGCAAAGAATCCTTTTCCTCCTTAAATTCTCATGCAGCTGCAGTACGTTCAGCTTCCTTCTTTTACCTCCACTTCCTCAACTCTCTTGTAAATTTAAATTAGTTAATAAGAGTTGTGAATTAGTTTTGATTATTTTATTTATTCTAAGAAAAATAAATCAATTTGTCTATTATAATTGTTATAGGGAACTTATGTTTCAGATTAAATATGTTTTATTTATCAGCTCATATCCAATCCTGCAAGTATCTAATGGGCAACTGTAGAATGCTCGTCTATTTCGCTATTTGTTTTAGAAATAAAAATAGTTCTTGATTTATTTTTATTCTTTACATAAATATTAATAATGCAGTTTCTATGTATATTTAAATGTAGATCACGTACGTTTTTCTTCTTGATAAAATGGAGTTAACTGAATGTATTTTAAATATTATTTTTTAACTCAAAACTTTTAACGTTTGTTTATTCACACATTCTTTTAAATAGGAAATGAAAGATATGAACACTTATTTCTCTACACCCGTATGAAGGTGATGACGATTACGATTCTTCGTTAATTTCATAAGAAATTTATAAACATTTATTTTGTAAATTTCCTTTTTATAGTCGTATTACGAAGTAAACTTGAATGAGCTATAGGTATTGTTTTTTTCTATACGCTGTACTTCTAAATAAAGTGAATGGTTCAAAAGTATAGAGACTATTTAAAAAAGAATAGTTCAAAGAAAAAGGAAAATAATGTGACATCAGTTATAGAGAAGGAAAGTACAAGAAAATATATGTGGGAGGGAACCACTTTAACTCTTTATAGAAAAATACCAAGGACACCAGAAGACAAATCTGAAAGTTCATTAAACTCTTTAATGTATCGGTGAGTTCTCCAATGAAACAACAATGCATCACAAAAGATCTAAATGAAATACTATACCTATCTTTATTATATTTCAGAAGTTAAAAGATTTTTGGTTAAAAGAATCTTATTAATTTTAGCATCTTTGTCTTTATGAAGTACATTAGTAACTTGATTTTTTGAATTTTCAGATCAAAAAGGAATCCACCAGAAAGTGAGGAAGAATTTAAACGACTTCACCAACAGCGAGAAATCGAAAGAAAAAGAGCACAAAAAAGAAACCAAGATCTTTTAAAAGTTCGTATAATTTAATAATAGATTTTACAAGGGAAAATAAAATATCGAATTGAGCTAAATGGTGATTACGATCCATAGTAAAAAATTAGTTCAGGACTGCTTCAAGCATAACCATTTGATTTTATGTTCTTAATTAAATAATTAATTAAAAGACGTGGCAATTGAGGGTGATCTCAAAATTACCTCCTTGGAAAAGAAGCAGGTCTTCCTTACAAAGTACTGAATCCAAGACCTGTAGATTGTAGTGGTACAGGTTTATTTTAACTTTTTTTTTTTTTGCAATCATAAGTTTTGGGTCACTTAACACAAATCTGGTGTTTTCTGACAGAAATTTTGCCAGAAATAAAACCTGTACTTGAATTATTTCTTAGGCATTACAAAAAAAAAGAATATAATTATTTTGAATGTGAAATATCACTAGGAGAATTTATTGGAAAAAGAAAAAGAATTATTATATGCTAATTGAAAGAGATAAATACTAAAGCCATATATATATATATATAAACATAAATATAACTTCCTTTCGCAGAATGTCATGAATTAATGCAATTTTATCTCTTCAAGGATATGAAACGATAAATATTTTTTTAGTAAAAATAATATGCATATGTTACCCTGAAAGACCGAAATCTGGAGAAAGTCAACATTCACATAGTCGCTTGGTGTATGTCCGAAATATTTGCTAAATATCCTTTCTGATTTACACCGGTAAATTTCGACGTTCACCATGCAGTAATGGTAAATGTTGAACATTTCGGAGATTTATATTTTCTTCTCCGTAATTCAGTCGCTAGAAAACGACACAACATGTCACGTAACTTTTTCTTCTCTTTTTCTGAGAGGACTGACCAAGAATTTAAAACACACAGTACATTTTAAATAAGAAAATAAAATAACAGTAATAAAAAAGTACTTTACGGCGTATATTTCGGATACGACTTGATTACTGATTTTTCTACCATTATCTGATTGCAATATTACTGATCCACCAAATTAAAAAAAAAATTACAAAGGTCTTAGGTAGATGGACAAACTTAGTTAAATGATCTTGATACACCATTATAAAGTTATATTCGCCATCTCTCTTTGACTGGATATCTATCAGATCAACTTGACTTCTTGGCACGGGCGGATATACGGTGAGGGAGGGGGGGCGGCTTTCGGGCTGAAGCCCCCCCCCAAAATGGTAAAATATAACCACGTTTTATCGAAAAAAATATTAAAAAGGTATCTCATAAAGTATTATTATTCATGTAATTACATTTAAAATGGCTTAGGAATCACTTAAACATCATTTCATATAAGTAGTTAGCTTCTTTCTTTTTTCCCAAAGTAATTATCGTTATTTTTATGAAAAAAAAAACTTTCGAGCTGAAGCCCCCCCAAAAATAAATCCTGGATCCGCTAGTGCATCTTGGGTTTAACTCAGAACTGACCATTGGTTTCACCACCATACCTTTCTTAGTTGCACTGTATTTCATTTGACACTGTTTGCACAAATTTAAATACAACATTACAACTTCATATGTACTATTTTTGTATTTAACTTGCAACTCTTTAAGCATACGTGTTGCAACTCTTTAAGCAACTCCTCCGTGGCCTATCCAGGTGTGATTTTCATATAGTACACTGAACAATTCTTCATTGGTAACATAATACTGTATATTCGTTGTCCCTATTTTTAATGGCACATTTAACTTCTCTTCATCATTAATTTTTAAAACGTTTTAATGGTCTGTAATCCAAAGGTGTGTTGCACTTACTTTTAGCAGAATTCCCTTCAGAAAGTATTTCAGAGTACTTTTCTTGATAAAACATGAAAACAGTTGTCTTCTCGTTTAGTGAATGTAACAATGCGTTTAGTGCACAATTGATGCATGTAACTTTAAAAAAAAAAATATCACGATTTATTGCAGTAACCATTCGGTATAAATTACGTTATCAGAAAAAAAATTAAGTAAACGTTGCTCGCATCATCATAACTTGCATAAGACTGACAAAGCTGATTGTCTTGGAGCCCGTGGAAAAAATGGTGTCATATTTCATACTAAGGTTTGTCCTTATAAATTGACCATATCCACAGGCCTGGTGAGAAAAATGCAGGTCTGCTAGCATACACCCGTGGGAATAAAATTGGCGGCCATGTGGAGATAGATAGATTTCCTACGTAGGTTCTAAGTGTAAATATAGAGAGGGTTCACTTACTTTTCGCAATTTTCGTTATTACACAACTCTTAATTTGTATGTAAGACAGTATATATTTATGAATATTATGCAAGCCAATTTATACACATGTATGTTGTCTTATATACAGATTAAGAGCTGTGTAATATCGCAAAATTTCGAAAAGTGAGTTATTCTGTATAGTTTCTGAATTTCATCAATAGATTATAATTGTTCCAGCCCACGGGCGTATCTACGGGAGGGCTTTCGTGCTGAAGCCTCCCTCCCTCAAAATGATAAAATATAACCATGTTTTATTGAAAAAAATATTTTTAAAATTATCTCTTAAAGTATAATTGTTCGTGTAATTACATTTAAAAGGGCTTTAGGAATCACTTAAACATCAGTTCATATAGGTAGTTAGTTTCTTTCTTATTTTCTACAGTAATTATCGTTATTTTTATGATAAAAAAGCTTTAGGGCTGAAGCACGGGCGGATCTACGGGGGGGGGGGGGGGCTTTCGGGTTGAAGCTCCCTCCCCTCAAAATGATAAAATATAACTATGTTTTATGGAAAAAAATATTTAAAAATTATCTCTTAAAGTATTATTGTTCGTGTAATTACACTTTAAAGGACTTTAGGAATCACTTAAACATCAGTTCATATAGGTAGCTAGTTTCTTTCTTCTTTACGATCCCTCAAAATTAAATCCTGGGTCCGCTAGTAGTGCTCCAGCCTTTGAATGGTTGAAAATAAGATAGTAAAGTAATATATATTCTTAAAGAAAATTTATTATTAAACAACTTTTTACGTCATGACTTTATCTTTTCATATGACAAAAAAAGTCATTTTTCCCGTAATATAGACTATGTATATGTATTATAAACTATGCGTTCTATCTATAATAATGAAAAATGTGAGATTAAAGCACACAGAATTTGCAGCATAAATGGTTATATTAGTTTTCACTATATTATATAGTTTCCGTGATATCCGTCCTCGTAATTCACTAATTTCAAACAAAATAATTTTGCATCGCATTTTTATCATTATTTGAGTCATCAACACTTTATCTTTTCATATGACAAAGAAAGTGTTGATGACTCAAATAATGATAAAAATGCGATGCAAAATTATTTTGTTTGAAATTAGTGAATTACGAGGACGGATATCACGGAAACTATATAATATAGTGAAAAACTAATATAATCATTTATGCTGCAAATTCTGTGTGCTTTAATCTCACATTTTTCATTATTATAGATAGAACGCATAGTTTATAATACATATACATAGTTTATATTACGGGAAAAACCGTAAAAAGTAAACCTTTTGAATCCTAAATTAAATTTGTTGACTTGAAATTCACGGGTATGGGGTAACTGACTATTATTTTATGTCTTAAGACGGCAAATACTATAAATTGAAATGATCGGTAGCTCTATATATCTATAAGCACTCTCTAATTATATGCTTACAACCTATGAAGGGTCTCTTCTATCTACAAACGGCCACCATTTTGTATTCTAGCGGCTTTTTGCTGGCAGACGTGCATTTTTCTCATCAGGCCTGTGAATATGAACAATTTCTAAGGACAAAGATTAGTAAGAAATATGACACCTTTTTTGCCACGGGCTCACAGACTATGAATAACTCCCAGCAGAACAAAGGATTTTGGGAGAGAGAGCCAGTCGCCTCTTTGTAAACTCCTCTCTATTGGACCTCCACCAGAGTGTATCTGTGGTCGACTTGTCACATATACATCGATAAGGATTCAAATGAACAAGAATGTTATGAAATATTCTTTCTTTCACCAACGTATTTGGTATGTGTTGACATTCAACGTTGAAAGTCAACATTCTCCAATTTTGATCATTCACGGTAACATATATAATAAAGAAAGATAACATGTATTAATTAGCATATAGTTTAGATTCAAATTTTTATTTAAAAATTAGCATTATATTCATTCTTTAAAAATATTTGTTACTAATGATAACTTCTATAAATATTTATTTAAAAATGTTTTGTAATAATTAAAAACATTAATTACATTTATATCCACAATCTTATTACTTTGTTATTATTTAAAGGAAATTGAATTGACAGTTGGTCGATTAAGAACAAGAGCTCTTTATTCACCCTCTGATGAAGGATTGAAGCAAGCTAAAACAAAATATATACAAAAACTTGAAAACCTGAAGATCAAACAGATTTCGGATGAGTGAATTGAAAGGACAAACTGTACCAAAGAGGGACCAGTCAAAATCGAGGGTAATTTAAGACAATTTTATTTAAATATTTAAAACCACGATAAAGAAATAAATAGTTTATAATTTCAAATGTAAATTATATATATATATATATATATATATATATATATATATATATATATATATATATATATATATATATATTATTTTATTTAAATCAAGTTCAATACAATGTATTCAATAAAATTTTTAGATTTTATCTCTAGTTTTATAATGCAAAGATGCCATATGGTACATAATGACATAAACTGACTGTTGTCCTAATAATGAATTAGGTATAGGCTAGATGAGCAGCCTTGTAGGTGCAGATGACATGGAATATTAAAATAAAAGTATTTAATTAATATATACCTCATAATAGAAATTTTAAATGTTGACTATAAAGTTACAATTATTTATGTATAAATCATTATAATAGAAAATGATGATAAATTATCAACAAATGTTAATAGTAAGTACAATGTCAAAACCACTCGAAACATTGGTTGAATTTATATCAAATGGACAATAAGCAGGGAAGATTCTGTTCACACATTAATTATAAATTTAAAAAAATAATGAGTACTGAAAATATGGATCCACAAAGATACATTTGTAGGTAATACTACTGATACCAGTTGAAATTCATTCATTATAAACTAATCATGCTCACTTTAATTGTCTATTGACTGATGATAAAAGCTGTTAGAACGAGAGGTTTCAGTAGATCTGCACCAAATTAGTTCATAAGCCTTGTCTGAGTATGAAAATCAGAAAACTTTGAGCTGTTAGCTGATGATTTCTCATCTATATTTACATCTCTTACTGACTTCCACAACCACAGAATATAAAACCTTAGGATCTACTTTGTATCAGACACTTATCTCAATGGAATATATTAAAATAAATTAATGGCCAAAAATTTTGATCAATTGATTAACAGCGATAGATTCATAGTTAGTATTTCAACATTCTAAAAGAAACTAATCTCAAAATAAAGTCTAATTCCTCCACTCTTAAATTAATTGTTCCCATTTTAAATAGCTGGCTCTCTTCTGGCTATGTCCTTGATCAAGGTACTGTTTCTCCAAAATGGAGGGCCAATGGCCATTTGAGGTTGGGTCTTCAACTCAACTCTTAGTATCATGGAAATATTGTCATATACAAATGAAACACTAAAGTGACAAAGGCAAATAAAGACTCTGTCAAAAGCAAGAATATTCTTGTGTATGAAAAGCATATGATTCTCTAGACTAGAGGTGAATACAAATTAACAAAAAAACTTTCAGTATAATTCCTATGTTATAAAACTGAAACTTTTATATTGCGCCAAAGTATTTCTTTCCTTAAAAAAGATTTACAGTGGATGTCGTTTATAACTTACCTCCATGAGTTCAGGCATATATGATCATTGATCATATATGCTATTGTCTTTATAACCAATTCTACTACATAGAATTTGAAAATAACAGATACAGAAATATACGTCACTAAAATTGAGACATTGTTCTGGCTGATGTCAATATAAATGATATCCAGTATACTTTGAGTAAATGCAGTTGGTTAACATCAGCATTTATTTATGCAGTATTGAAAAAAATATTGTAAATTTACTTAAGCATTTTAAGCTTTATTTTATTTGCGCCTTACCCATATTGGTTCATACATTTAAAATTATTATGGTCACAAAATTCTATTTTATGGAATTAATTTATAATTTTGCCAAAATTAGGAGAAGAGAAAAGACAGCCATTTGGATATTGGTCATGAAACTAACAATGAGAGGCCCAAATCTCCAAGGGTAAACTGCTCTACATTAATGTTTTGTACTTTCTTTGCATGCCACACAGATAGCATGATATTCCAATTATGCACATAACTTTTCTCATTTAAAATAAAAAGATCTGTAAATAAATAATTCGTTAGTTTAACTTTTAAAAGATAGGATTAATAAAAAAAGTGAAGAAAAAAAATTATGTACCAATTGCAACTAAAGATAGTGTATCCAATATCCTTAAGAAGCATTTTAACATAAATGTATATAGCAATTAGAGTGTGAGAGAAGGGGAAGATGAGAATCTCTCAGTACAAACATATTCGGATTATGCAAGAAAATGCACATTTCTAAAACGAAACCTTTGGAAAAAAAAAGAAATGAAAAAAAGACACTTAAATTGTATGAGAAAGTATAATGTAAAAGTTCCCATCTAGAATAAATAGTTTACAATGATTCTTTCACCATAAAAATCTTATTTATTGGAGTTGTTTGACAATTCATGATAAAATAATATAAAAATAAATAATATATAATATATAATAATAAAATGATATGAAAAATGTTATTAGTACTGACTATTGGTATTTATAACTGAAAACAAATATGGCAAGGAGTTAAATCTGACAAGCTGAGATGGGTAACCAGAAGTTGTCACATAGTGTTAATAATGTACAAATATGTTTGATCAATCAGATAAGGGTACAGAAATTGGCAATGTATTTTTTTTTTAATTTAAACACTCATTTTATTTTTAAAATTATGCCAATCCTCTTCATTTTCCAGTATTAGAGGTCTATCAGTCCAGTACTATCCTGATTAGGGAATAGATATGAATTGGGATGGGACTGCATCATATCTGTCATATCCAGTAATGAAGAGCATATGTTTAAATGCATTGAAATAACACCTAAAATATTTTTTTAACATGACTTTTATTGGGGGCAGCGGAAGATAAAAGAAAGAGCAAAATTGAACTTATCCATTCAAGCAAAAATTATAGTTCAGGTCCAGGTCCAACTTAGAACTAAGTATAAGTTTTATTTCCCAAACATTGTTTCAAGAAAAAAATAATGGTTTTCAAAGTGTTCTATATTCTTTAAAGTTCATGGTCAGTTTAAATGTAAATAACGGTTACTTTTGTTAATTAATCAACAATTTGTTTAAAAACCTGTTTAAACTATCAGTTTGTAGTAGTCTGATATTTAATTCCACAGAAGATAAACAATAATTGTTAATTGGATTTATTTTAGGACCATACTATGAGATATTAAATTACTAAAATGTCTACAAATGATTTAATCTATGTACATTATCTAACATTGGTTATTAGTATATAAAGACAGTATTGTTTAAAAAAAATTGTTGTTTCTTAGTTATTATTTCTGCACCTTAGACAAAAAAGGGCCAATCTTAGGAACATTGAAATTTGCGTGAACATCATGAAGTAAATCAGAATAGGATATACATTAATTGTTAAAAGGACCAAATGATGACTTCCATTATTTTTACTTCTGACAGCTAATAGTGGGACGATATTAGATATTATAAAAATTATTGTACAGCCTATGCTAATTTGTTTTGGACAGTTGGTCCAATTTTGAAGATTTGACATTGGCCATTTTTGTTATAAGGTACAAATATTAAGCTTTTTCTGAATCCCTTTCATTGAACAGTCTTTTTCTTGAAACAGGATAGAGCCAAACCTGTGGTGATATCACATAGTGATCAACAAGGGCCACCTCTGGATTTTTCTTTTAAAAATATTGAGACAATTGAGGCTTTGAAAACAGAAAAACCTAGAAAAGGTAACAAAAACTATAAAAAAACAAAGGATGGAAAATACTCCTGTTCTTCTCTGAGGCTAAATAACAACTATCTTGAAAACATAAGTGGAATTCATTCAGTATGTCTTGAAGTAAGAATTTTTTAACACTTTGTTTACTAATCTCTTAATTATTTTTACTGTTTCTAAGAAAAATAAATAATTTTTTATAATAACAATTTTTTGTGTTATAGAGGCCTATAAAAGGTTGATAAATGTCTACACTTTAATTTAACTTAATTAATTTAACTGGCTCAACTATAATAATCATTATTAATTAAATTAAAATTTACTGTAGATATATTTTTTAAAATAGTAAATATTAGATTGTTAGACGATAAATATCAATGATTTTAGGTACTAACTAACAAATCTTATATTTCATAATTAAATAAATAATCAATAAAATATAATATACCATAGGAGGAGAGCCTGCGATCCTGGAGACCGCATGTGGTTTCCAAACGTTTTTCTGTGATATTTATTGATATACCACTATAATGATTAATTGGCCAGTGTTTCAACTGCCTCCTGCAGTGCCACATCCTACGCCCTGAAGACGACCTGCAAAGTGGGTCGAAACGTCGGCAAAAATTAAAATAATTTATATATTTTAATTTTTTTATTTATTTGACGGCACCCTCGACTAACTCCTCATATAATGATTAATATTTAATTATTTAAGTTATGAAAATTTGAAAATTAATATAATTAAGTTTAATATATGTATATGGATGTATGTATTTAATGATAAATAAAAAAAAAAACAGCAGTAAAATATCAAAAATTGGTGCATCATCCATTAGCAACTGCCTAATCTTACTGCAGCCTCTGATGATAAAAACGTACCCCAACTATGTAATGGGTAAAGAAATTGTAAATTAAGTACTATTGATTTAAAAAATTGAAAAAAAGTTTACTGTTTTGTAAGAATGACATAGATTTAATCTGGTCAGATTTATGTGTTTCTTCGAAGTATTGATTTTATTTTTATATACTGGATCATATCTGTATTAGTTTACTTGCTCAGGTATTCTTGTGCAGCTAAATTGGCTGATTTAAGATATTTTTCCAATTTCTATCAATAGATGGGCTGCCCTTTGTTGACTTGATGAATATGAAATTTCTTTGACGAGATCCTTTCACTCAAATTTAGGCTGTAGAAACCCTCAAAATTATCAATGCAATGATTGTCACCCACTTCAACTAAACAACCATCTATTAGAATAAATTTATCTATATCTGCAACCATCTATAAGTCCATATTTTTCTTATATAATCAGTGCACCCAATTACTTTATTAAGCATTACCTTCTAATTATCAAAGAAAAATACCTAGAATTCTTTGCTTCACACGAACTATTGATCATCATTCATAATACCAAGTTGTCACTATAGCATCCATCGTACAAATGTAGTGCTGAATGAATAAGAAAGGTAATAAGCTTTGTAATAATAAAGGTAATTAAGAAACTAACAATGGTTCCATCATTTTTACATTTTTTAGGAGTTTTCAATGGCAAATATTCAATTTAAGGAGTAATTTCAGTCAGAACAACTTTTCTGCAACCCTTGTCCTCACAGTATGATGTTATTCAGAGCATTGCGATAAATAATATCATATAGGTTCCCACAAAATCTATAAATATCACATGTCTACATCAGGGATGCTTGACCCAAGGCAAACATACTGAACTGGGGTTTGGCAATACTAGGCAGCTGTTCATAAAGGCTTTGAATTTTTTGTTTATACTTTTGTTATTAAAAATAAAAAATAAAAAAATTTCCCTTTCTGTGATGAAAAGATATTTTTTACTCAACATGTTTGATACAGATAACAAAATTACTATCCTATTGCATAAAATTATTGCATAAATAATAGTTAGTAACAATTTTCATTATGTTGATATATTATCAAAATTTACAAGACAGGAAAATAAACCTAAAATTAAAAAAAAAAAAAACCTAATTATATTTTTAAAAATAAACCTATATTATATAGAAATAATTATTGTATGGGTGATATAACTAATTTATCACATTCAATTTTCAATATTTTTTTTCAACTTTGATTGATTCAAGTTTTGATTTCTCAATATTTTATCAGTTTGATTTCTACTCAAAATTGATTTCTTGATCAGGAATATGTTTTTCTAGTACAAAAGTGGAGTGGTTAGCTTTGGCCATTGACAAATATTAGTAAAAACAGTGGTGGAAAACTTGGATGATGAGAGAATCAAATTCTTTTATGACAAAGTCTTAGACTTAAGCAAAAATGTTAAATGCTTACATTAATAGATGCTTCACACAATTTATTGGTATGTTTTTTAGATACTTGAAGCACCAGAGAAGCTGACCTGGCTTGACCTTTCTTTTAATCGCTTAACCTCAATCCCAGCTGAGATATCAACACTTTGCTCTCTGAAAATCATATATCTTCATGGAAACCATCTTGTAGACCTACCAGCAGTTTTGCGACCGCTAAAGTAAGCCTAATACTTCTTTTACTATACTATCAGAGTTAATCCTCAAAATTTTACTAAATGTATTACAATATTAAATCTAAATGATATTGTTGGTTTATTGTAAATTTTCATTAAGGTACATTTCATAACCTTACACAATTAAGAACGTCGAAGAATTTTTCCTATGTAAAATTATAAAGTTGTGCGCTTGTAATTATTTTTTATAGAAAAAAGGGTTTGTGTCATTTTCAGGTACTTACAGTGTTTTTGTACCGATAAATAAAGTCAAATTAAAAAACAAAACAAGAAAAAAATTTGAACGTTGACCTACATAAAAAATTCACTTACTTTTTGTGATAAAACAATGTCAATGACCTGAATTTTTCATAACTCCTCAATTAGTTTTAAATTGTACAAAGATTTTAAACCGAAAGGATTTCCTTTACAAAAAATTTCTGTTAAATAATCAATTCTATATAAGGCTCATTCCTTCTAAACATATTCCATCATATAATCTCCCATTCCTTTATTCTAGGAGTTTTAGTCAACTTCATCTTCTCCCATCTATTTCTATTTTCACTAACCAATATATGAAATACATAACAAAGGAGAGTATTGGAATTATGAAAAATTTTGAATTAAGGTTTTCAATGAAAATAGATATTTTAAGATCCTCTGATTCTAAATAATAAAAAATTGTACAAAAACGAAATTACATATTTAAGGTATGTATAGATATGTCTGGAATATTAAAGCAACTTATTTACTAAAATCAGCTAACTGGCTCACCTGTTGGCTGTCAGGATAGCAATGCAAGATCAGGGTCTATTTCTAAAATCAGGGGGGGATTTCTAAACAGAATAGAAGAAAAAAAAGTTATAAAAAAAATGACAAAATAAAAAAATTATGAATGACATACAGGACAATATTTAGAAAAATTACTAATAGTCTGTGGGCCAGACCCCCTTACCGTGCACCCACCCACACATTCCTACAAATTGCATATCGTTGTGTTCCTTGTAACAATTTATTAAAAAAAAGCCAATGTTCCCACAAAAAAGTGAACGCACTGCCCCAAAATGGCGTCCAAAGATGGCGGATTGACGACTTTGACTTTAGTTAGTTTTTTGGTCACTGAGAATCAGCATTTAACTTAATTTCCTCATAGTTGGTCTTTTATTAAACCTGAATAGTCATAGAATAATAAAACATGAAGAAATATTAAAGAGTAATTGGCTTAGGCTACGAAAAACACCAGTAAAGTCAAACTTTTTTTCAAAAAAATTTTCAAGTTACAAATCAAGCGTCGTTTGTAATTAAACGGCCTACAATAACGAAAAACGTGCTGAAATAAAATATCTGGAGAATATATTTCTCTTTCTAAAACGCTGGTTATTTTTTTAAAAAATTTAAGCAGTTCCGTAGAAAACGTACTTATGCGGCAGAAAAGCGGTACTGGCGTGGGTGCCTACAGACCTCTACCACACCATTCAGTGCCCATAAATGGCTTAGTTATAGTGATATAATAACATTTTTGGTACATTATATTGGTTTAATTAACGAAAAAATATTAATGCAATAATTTAATCGTAAAAAAAAATTAAAATTTTTTAAAAAAATTTATTATTATTTTTTTTTAATTTAACCTACTTTATTCTATACGTAGGTCGTTTAAGAAGACCTCAATTGTAAAAATGATATAATGATAATAATAAAACTTAATTAAAAAATACATTGCTAAATATCTTGTTTTTTTTTTATTTAAGGTTTGCAATTTAACACTGTGTTTTGTATATTTACTGATTCTTAGAGGTAATTAACATTTTTATATACTTCCCAGGAAATGAGTCATATTAATACCTGTTTTATAAACTAAAATAATATATACCTAATCTGAACTATATATAATGAATAGCTACCGGGTTGTTTAGTAAAACTCATATATCACTAATTAAAAAATTAATTTTTATTTCATTTATTTTGTGCAGAAGTTGGACTATATCATAAATGAATAGGAAATTTTAATATTGAATAAATTATTCTCCCTGCACAACGAACGAGCGAACGAGAAAGGAAGTGCCAAAACCTCGGAAAAGATAAAAAGGACATCAGTATCCATTATATAGCTAAATGAATGTTAAGTAGACAGATGAACAGAATATTTCAAGATGCTGCTAAAAGGGGGTCAATTGCAGTTTGGATGATATTAAGTGGACGATGTAGGTTTATTATGGTGAAAACCTCGTTATTTTTGATTGCTGAAGGTGCACATCGGGACTATCTTTACTTTGAAGCAGGATATAGAGAGGTATATCGAGAAAGTTATAGCTCATAGTTCTGTTTAGTACATTTGCAAAAGATTTTTTAAGGAATCTTATATTAGCTATAGCTCGTTGTTGTGTAGAAATTGTGGAATAAATTGTTCGGAATTTGTACCATATCATAAAAAAATAGGAAATTTTAATATTGAATGCATTATTCTCTCTGCACAAAGAAATGGAAAGGGTGAAACCGAAATGCTTTGCACAGTTTTGAGCGTACATAGGCAACAAGTATATTAGAAAATGATATGAAAGGACTGTGATTTTTACCTTTACAAGAAAGGAGATATTAGGAAATGTAATACCCATCAAGATCCATTCCTGTTTAGTGTACCAAACAAATTATACTCAAGAATCGTAGAAGCTGGAATAAGAAGTATTGTTGATTGCCAGAGCGATATGGATTGAGAAACTCAAGTTGCATATTGGAAGAGAAGTTGAAAATTGGGTCTGTCTTCACTTTAAGGCAGGTTATAGAGAAGTTCATATAAAAAGAAAAATAGCTCTCTATCTGCTTAGTGTCTCACACTTTGGAATGTGCTAATATCTAATTGTCTTTCAGAAAAGCTCGTTTTCCTTTTAGATTCCTTAAAAATCTTTTACAAATGCACTAAACAGAAGGAGAGCTATGAGCTATAACTTTCTCGATATACCTCTCTATATCTTGCTTCAAAGTGAAGATAGTCCCGATGTGCACCTTCAGCAATCAAAAATAAAGTGGTTTTCACCATAATAAACATACATCGCTCATTTAATGTCATCCAAACTGCAATTGACCCCCTTTTAGCAGCATCTTGAAATATTCTGTTCATCTGTCTACTAAACATTCATTTAGCTATATAATGGATACTGGTCCTTTTTGTCTTTTAGCACTTCCTTTCTCGTTCGCTTACTGTATTTTTCCAATTTTCTGGTTCAATTTCGCGTTTTTCCCCCTTTTGATACCAAAAACAAACAATCAGTTCTGGTTTATAGAAGAACTTATAGTATCACCCTTTCTATCTTTCTTTGTGCAGAGAGAATAATTTATTCAATATTAAAATTTCGTATTTATTTATGATACAGTCCAACTTCTGCACGAAATAAATGAAATAAAAATTAATTTTTTAATTAGTGATATATGAGTTTTACTAAACAACCCGGTAGCTATTCATTATATATAGTTCAGATTAGGTATATTATTTTAGTTCATAAAACAGGTATTAATATGACTCATTTCCTGGGAAGTATATAAAAATTTTAATTACCTCTAAGAATCAGAAAATAAACAAAACACAGTTTTAAATTGCAAACGTTAAATAAAAAAAAAACAAGATATTTAGCAATGTATTTTTTAATTAAGTTTTATTATTATCATTATATCATTTTTACAATTGAGGTCTTCTTAAACGACCTACGTATAGAATAAAGTAGGTTAAATTAAAAAAAAATAATAATAAATTTTTTTTAAAAAATTTAATTTTTTTTTTTTACGATTAAATTATTGCATTAATATTTGTTCGTTAATAAAACCAATATAATGTACCAAAAATGTTATTATATCACTATAACTAAGCCATTTATGGGCACTGAATGGTGTGGTAGAGGCCTGTAGGCACCCACGCCAGTACCGCTTTTCTGCCGCATAAGTACATTTTCTACGGAACTGCTTAAAATTTTTTAAAAAATAATCAGCGTTTTAGAAAGAGAAATATATTCTCCAGATGTTTTATTTCAGCACGTTTTTCGTTATTGTAGGCCGTTTAATTACAAACGACGCTTGATTTGTAACTTGAAAATTTTTTTGAAAAAAAGTTTGACTTTACTGGTGTTTTTCGTAGCCTAAGCCAATTACTCTTTAATATCTCTTCATGTTTTATTATTCTATGACTATTCAGTTTAATAAAAGACCAACTATGAGGAAATTAAGTTAAATGCTGATTCTCAGTGACCAAAAAACTAACTAAAGTCAAAGTCGTCAATCCGCCATCTTTGGACGCCATTTTGGGGCAGTGCGTTCACTTTTTTTGTGGGAAAATTGGCTTTTTTTTTAATAAATTGTTACAAGGAACACAACGATATGCAATTTATAGGGATGTGGGGGGAGGGGGGTGCACGGTAAGGGGGTCTGGCCGACCCTGTATAAATGGAATATTCATGAAGATGGAGCAGAGCCCCAAAATGTTGGCTATGTAAGAGAAAAACATGATTAACCAAAGAATTTACTCCAGGAGGAAGACAATTTTTTTTTTCATACCTTCAAGTAAGTAAATAAAAAATCTTTCCTGTACAGTGTGATTTATCAAAACAAACAATGAAGTAATTTGATGACTAACAATTTAAATTTAACAGAAATTAAATGGAATTCCAAAATTAAGTGGAAACTTTTACAATTATTTTTAAGCTTGAAAAAAAAAATATGTAATTAATCGAATTCTCATTCTAGAATTGTTTAAAAACTATTTTATTACACTTTGGTGAGGAAAGGCATAAAGAAGTGCAAGCTGATAGAACTATTTTAAGCTTTAAGTTGGAAAACATAATAACTAATAGCTATTATAAATAATAATTTATGGTTATATCAATAATGGTGATAATAATAACCTTAGCTCCGATAATAGATTTACATATTTATAGGTAACTAAATATTAACTAGGTTAATTTGAGCAGAAATTTTATTAGGTTGGCAAGTGAATGTGGTAGAATGCATGCTGCACCATAATTAGAGGGAAATATTTATAAGAGGGATAGCAGACCTCAAGAGCTACAAAATAGTTTATATAAACATTGGTCTGATTTTGGATCGAACAGAAGGAAATTTAAGATTTTTAACAAGAACATTGTTTAAAGTGTCATGTTTTTTTGTTGAATAGGAAACAATAACTACAGAAATATTTAATTTAAATAATTAACAATTGATTCAATGCAAACAAAACAAAATTTAATTAAAAAGAAAATAGAGTTTGTCATTGTTAAAACCATTTAAAGAGGACTTTTGAGCAGCTAAACCAAGCTAAGTTCTGTTTTTAAACAGATCATGAATTATTCGCAATTATTATTTTTTTTTATCAGTCTCTTCTATATCCCTCTTTTAGAAAAACTTCTCCATTTAATCAGCTTTAAGTTCGTATTAACTAATTTGAGGTTTATTAGGAAAAAACTTGATATTGAACTCAAGTTGTCTAAAAAAATTAGGTGATATTATGTCCTGTCACCTAAAAGTACCCGTGTTTTCAGCAAAAATAACCACAATAAATTGTTGAAAAGATTTTATTTCTTGTTTTTCCATGATTTTAAATTTATTATAATAAAAATAATTGCCTAAATAAACTTTCTATCTATAATAAACAAATGTTAAAAATAGTGATTTTCAAATATTTATAATGTGAAATGGCTATGTAACTGTGTTTTCGACCCAGATCTCTATAATAGGAATTGATTCATATTTATAAGTGGCAAACTAAATGTTCCTGATTCTAACATTCACATTTTCATGAAAATAATTGAAGCAGTCAGCAGGCTTCATTATTTTAAACCTAAATTTTAGGAGTATAAACATTTATTTCACCAATACAGATCAATTCCTGTCACTAGCGGATCCAGGATTTAATTTTGTGGGGGCTTCAGCTCGAAAACTTATTTCTTCATAAAAATAACAATAATAACTTTGGTAAATAAGAAAGAAACTAACTACCTATATGAACTGGTGTTTAAGTGATTCCTAAAGCCCTTTTAAATGTAATTACACGAATAATTATACTTTAAGAGATAATTTTTTATATTTTTTTCGATAAAACATGGTTATATTTTACCATTTTGGGGGGGGCTTCAGCCCGAAAGCCTCCCCCCCCCCCGTAGATCCGCCCGTGATTCCTGTAATAGTAAAAAAATAACTTATTGTTAATACAAAATACATTTGCATTATCAATTTAGATCAAGGGTCTCCAAACTATGGCTCGTAGACCGGATCTGATCCGCAATCATCTTCAATCCAGCCCGTGAAAGATTTTTTGACTATATGGAAAAAAAAAATATATATATGAAATTTAGCAAATTACTCACATACGTGGTTATTACAACATGTATCACATGTTATTTTTCTATTTGGAAGCTCATTTCACATTTATAGTGTCATTTATTGAATAAGGTTTTATCTTATCATAAGCCATGGCCTGCAGGGTTTGCGGGGGGATTGAGGGGAAGGGAGAGTTATCAATGTGGCCTGTGGAACTTAGTCAAGGTTTCAATGTGGTTCGCAGTGCAAAAAGTTTGGAGATCCCTGCTTTAGATGATGAATCTTTAGAAATAAAAACTGTGTTTATGCATTTATATTTATTATTATACATCACAGATCATAGAAAAAAACGAAATTGAAGCTTTTCAATAGTTTATTTTAGTTATTTTTGCTGAAAACATGGGTACTTTGAGGTGACAGGATATAAATCATAACATTTACAGAACTCGAGTAGAATCTCACCTTTTTCCCTAATGAATAATAAACCCGATCTTAATTAATACAGACTTAAAACTAATTAAACAAGGAAGTTTTACTAGAAGTTGGGTTAATAAAAACAAAATTACAAATAATTCATAGCCTTTTTAAAACCAGAACTTAGCTTTGTTTATCTATTCAAAAGTCCTCTTTAAATGATTTTAACAATGAAAAATTATATTTTACTTTGAAGAAAATTTTCTCTAGTTTTTAGAGCAGTAATTTTTAATTACTTAAATTAAATAGTATTTGTTGTCACTTCCCATTCAATAAAAAACGTGACACTTAAAAAATCTCATAACGTTTATTTCCTATTTTCCTGCTGGAAATCGGAACATTGTATATATAAACCTTTTTGTAGCTCTTGAGGTCTGCTATTACTCCTTTAAAAATTTCCTTCAACTTACTGGACACCCTATATATTTGAACTTGTTTGAATCTATCTTTATATATTTTCATCTATTTTCCTTGCAGCATTATTTTTATTTTATTTTTTTAATCTCTTTTCTTAGTTATTTTTTTACCAAAATCACAGATAAAAAAAAAATCAAAAAAGAAAAATAGTTTCTGAAAAAAAAAATAAATTTTGTAGCTTTCAATATTTGTTTATAGTATTTATGAACCTCCTATCTTTTCTTTTATCTTTAAATTTTTTTTCTAATGGACGTAATATAATTTTTACTGACTCATCAAAAAATACTTTTTGATTGAAATAAAACCACGTTGAGTATTTATGTTCATGATTCATTATAAATTAGATTAAAAAAAAAAAAATTAAATATGCCAAGTGAATCACAGAATGGCATTTAAAATCAGTTACATAACTAATCCTTAAATAAATATGATTAAAGGATGCTGGATGGGCTCTATTCGCTAACACTTCATGGGAATCCTGTTGAGGAGAGAGAAAATTATAGGTACAAAATTATGGCTCATCTTCCTCATTTGAAAACACTTGACTTCAATAAAATAACTCTTGCAGACCGTAAGAAAGCTGAAGGCATGAAGAAAAAACATTAATAAAAACTTTCTATTGTATTATAATTCTATACTTAGAGTCACGGTTTAGGAAATGCTACCATGTTATATACACAGGAAAAGTATGTGATATTTGTGTGATACATTTATATTTTTATGTTATGTTCAGTATGTCTGTCAGATTATGCATAATAGTTCTAATATATTATGTTTATGATTTAGGGTAAAGAGATATGTAAATGCTCATTCTGTTATATTAAATAAAATGTAAGGAATATTACACTTCAATTAGCTGTAATCATTCTGCTTAATGAAATGTAAAAAAAATACATTATTATAAGTCCCAGTGTCTTTTTCAAATATCTCATTTATTATTAACGTAAAACAACTGAAAATTAGAAAAGAAAAAACCAAGTTAAAAGCAATTTATTGAAATTTACGTTGACATACTGGTACATATTTCATTGTAAATCTTGTATTATGTACCATCACAAGTAAGAAATAAGAGTAAAAAAGAAAGGAGAAATTTTAAGAACAATATACTTTCTTTGTGAAAGATTTATGACTGATAAAACAGAAGACTATTGTGCCTTACTGATCATCTTAACTAATCATCAAATAATAATGTACTTTGTATTTTATTAATGCCATGCAATGTAGAAAAGAAATAAGTAGTTTTTATATTTATAATTTATGAGTATTAAAAGAAAAAAAATATTCGCTGATTAAAATGGTAATTTTTTGACAAAATGTTAAATGCTTGCGAGAATGAGAAATACAAATAATATGATGTATAATGCTTTGATAGAAATTTGTATATAGTTGTTGTGTATTGTTACAAATAATAAATATTCCTTATATCATAAAAGCAGTTTTTCTTAAAACAAAGAAATTTTAATATGTATTTTTTGTAGCCCTAAACATATATTCAATGATGTAGGACTGATGAAGCACATTAACACTAGATCACAGGTCCAAGACAGTATACATACATTCATTCCCTCCTGAGGTATTGGTATGACCAATAGGTAACTGAATCTTATCGATGTTTTAAGATCTATCTTACTAGGCTTTCATACAATATTTGTGTAACATAAGGTGGTTTATTATAAAGCTATTTTATTTACATTAACACAGTTTGGACTAAGCATGCAATTCAAATATGTTAGCTACTTAGTTCCATATGTTAGGCAAATATGTTAGGCATAGTTCCATTATTAAAGGATTAGGACTGTGATATCTGCATATAGTGATGTAACACTAATAACTTTTCCCTTTTGAGCTGATTCCAGAACTCATTTGCTATCTAATTAATGGTAAGCCAAGAAGGTATCACACAAACACGAACAAGAAATAGCTGAACCATTACAATTATTTGTATCTTTTTATCTATACATATGATTAGTATACAATAATAGAGTCTTAAAAAAAAAATGACTCACCTAGTTCTCATGTATGAATCAGAATAGTGAAAAACTAAATCTGAAGAAAGAGACTTATAAATATTTCAAAAAGAAAAAAATCTCCTGGTTATACATATGGACCTTTGGGTTCAGTAGGAGTTTGGAGGTGAAGAAACAGTCGAGAAATGTACGAGTTGTTGAGAAGGTCATTGAATCATGAAAATAGAAAGGCTGATCTGGTCCATGATAGCATGAATCCAATGAAGCTACTGACAGAAGAAACATAGGAGCTATAGAGCAAGAAGACCGAGACTGCAATGACAGGACTGTGCTGCCAATGATGCATAGAGTGTTAGTATTCGCAAATGGATGGTTACTACACAACAGAAACTTCTAGTGATTGCTGGTGGAGCAGCCATGACTCATTACTGCATTAAAATGTTTCTGAATAACAATAGTAAAGTCTAGTGTTCCGTGTTTTCCTTTTGTGCAGGTAACAAAATTGATTGATTAGCTGGTCAACAATTAATCAGCCAAGAAGATTGCCAATGACTTGATCAAGCAATAGCCGAACAATACCATATGGATCTATAGGTAATAGCAGTTTGACATTCCGTCTTTTTATCTTTTTTCCAGAACTTATTCGCTCAAATAATCAGTCAAGAAAGTAGCTTGCATTGCTAGCACATACAAAAACATATATTTTATTACTATTTCTTATAACTGTATCTAGCAATTTAAAAGTACTTTTTATACATTCTATAAAATGCATTTCTGGAATCCAACTAAGCCTCTAGACTTACAAAAAACATTTACTTATTCATTTTTATATATTTGTCCATTTTAAAGAAATTCTTCTCTGTATCCTACACTGTTGGATTATTTCTGTAAGTAGGGGGAAATGTTTATAGGAGTAACAGCAGACCTTAATAACTACAAAAAAGTTTATATAAACAATAGTCTGATTTTCCAGAAGAAAAGTAAGAAATTTAAGTTTTGTTTTTTTAAGTACGAAACGATAACTAAAAAGATGTTTTTTTAAAGTAATTAACAACTAATTCACAGCAAACTAGACAAAATTTACTTCAAATGATTGTAGAGTTTGTCATTGTTATAATTATTTAAAGAAAATTTTTGAGCGGCTTAACTAAGCTAATATTTATTTAAAAAAAAAAAACATGATTTATTTAAAATTTTATCACCCTCCTATATCCTATAACTATACTACAGATACTCCACTTTTAGAAGAACTTCCCTGTTTAGTAAGGTTTAGGCCCACATGAATAAAGTTGATGGTTTTTTAAAGAAATAAGTGGAGATTCATCTCAAGTTGTGTAAAAAAAAATGATGTGATTTGATATCCTGTCACCTAAAAGTACCCGCGTTTTAAGCAAAAATAACAACAATAAATTGTTACAAAGCTTTAATTTTTTTTCTATTACCTGTGATGTTATATAATAAAAATAACTGCATAAATACACTTTTTATTAGTAAAAAAAAACATTAAAACAATAATTTTTCTTATATCTAGGATCTAAATTGGTAATGTAACTGCAGCTTTTTAAAAATTAGAATCTCTATTCTGGAAATTGATTCATATTTATAAGTGACACAGTTAAATGTTTCCAATTATAATATTTACTTTAAGATGAAGAAACTTTCTGATTTCTTGAATTATTTTCATGATTCCTAAAATTTTAGAATTAGGAACATATAGTAATCACTTAAAAATACTGATCAATATCTATAATAATAAAGATCTGGGTAAAAAATACAGATTCATTACCACTTCAGATGATACATTTTCAAAAAATCATTATTTTTTGTAAATAATTGTGATTTTATGTTTATTATAGTATATCCCAAATAATGGAAAAAATAAATTAAAGCTTAGCAATAAATAATTTACTGTAGTTATTTTCGTTGAAAATACGGATGCTTTTAGGTGACAGGATATAAAATCACATCACTTTTTTACACAGGTTGAGATGAATCTCAATTTATTTCGTAATAAATCCTCACATTTGTTAAGATGGACTTAAAGCTTATTAAACCTGAAAGTTTTTTTAAACGTTTGGTGTCTGTAGTATAGTTGTAGGATTATAAAAAAAATTGCAAATAATTCATGATTTTTTTAAAAAACAGATATTAGGTTAGTTTAGTCACTCAAAAGTCCCCTTTAAATGGTTTTAAAAATGGCAAACCCTACTTACATTTAAAGTAAATTTTGTCTAGTTTACAGTGAAACAATTTTCAAATATTTAAATTATATTTTTTTTAAATTTTTGCTTTCTATTCAACAAAAAATGTGACACTTAAAAAGACACAAAATTTGAATTTCCTACTATTCTACTGTAAATCGGACCATTGTTTATATTAACTTTTTTTGTTGCTCTTGAAGTTTTTTATCACTCCTATATATATTTTCCTCTGCTTATGGGATACCCTGTATATTATATTAAATGCTTTTGAAGAATTTAACTAAACCTTCAGATTTAAAAAAAATATAGTTAATGAATATAGGAAAGAATTAGTTGAAAATTGATAATTTTCCAAAACGTTTGACATTGGATAAATATTTTTTTTTTAAGTTTGTAGGTTTAGTTTAATTCCTTTAATTTAGTTTAATTCCCTTTGGTAAACTACTTTCACCTTTTTCACACTGCCAATGAATTACATATTATCATAATATGTAATCACACATATTATCATTTTACTAAAATAATAATCTGTACATAAATAGATAAATGTATAAATAAGTATGGTTTAATAAAATGTATTTCTCTATTAGCAAACATGTTTCAAGAGGTTATATATTATATGAAAGTACAGTAAAAAATTGCATCATTTCATTGGATTAGAATTTTTTTTCAATGGCTAAAAAAGATTGAAAGACTACACTTTGTTAAAGGTCATGAACATTGATGGCATGGTATACCAAAAGATACACCACCCTGTTACAGATCATGAACATCATTGGCATTTGATACCAAAAGACATTTCACCCTATCACAGATAGTATGAGGCCAATATTAACTGTAAACATAATCTTCTTCAACTTACGACAGGGCTTCTTTTAATTAACAATAACAAAAACAAATTGTAAAATAATGCTTTTATTTATCACAGAGTTATTTAATTTAGGACCAATATATAAAATAAAAAAGTGGTAATTTAATTTTTAAATAATAAAAACCCCTACACCAGACTGAAACGACTAGAAACCGCCCGACGTTTTTGACTACTGCAGCACTTACTAGACAAACAATCTAAACTTCCAACTATTTACAAAATACTCATACATATTACTATAATAAGGCCTATTTGGAGTTATGGGATCTAGCTTTGGGGCTCTACTAAACCATCAAATGCCTCTTCAATCCAATCTCTACAATGCAATGCTCCCTACTTTATCACAAATAAAATCATCAATAATGACCTTAATGGACCATATGTTTCTGATTTAGCTCAATCCAGATACCTATCCTTCCATAATAAACTTCTGAACCATCCGAACCCTCTTGTTTCCAACCTTGCTTTCTTTTCTATTAATGATAACCTTCCCAGGTTTCTGACAGGAAGATGGCCTCGAGACCTTCTAATATGGAAATGTCATTGGAGTGCTACCAATGGGTAGTT